CAGTATGCTGGAAGGTGAAGGTTCTCAGAGCCCCAGATAGGCACCAGGTTCCACTGATACCTATGTCTACTTGATACAGTGTGTTGAGACCAAATTATAACTTGAGATACGTGGAGGGTTGCAAATGAGCAAGGGTCAACCAATTATTGAAAACCCTACTCGCCAGACAAAAAAGGGACTCGCCACCCTCCCCCACAAAGTGTTTTTTAATGGCATAAATTCCTAATAAGAATAAGAACAGTAATTACTAATAAGTTATTAATAAATATCACCCAAATTATTAATAAATATCTTATAAACCTCTACCTTTTCTCTCTGCTGCCATGTCTCCTCCCCTTGCTCCATCAGCTCCCCTGGTGCCTGCTGCCCCCCAACCCTCACCCTCCTCTGCTGTCCTGAGTCTTGCCCTTCTCAGTGCCCTCAGCCTTCCTGAGACCTGCCCCCCCTGCCAGCTTTTCTCCCCCCTGAGTCTGCTCCTCCAGTAGCCCCACTCTGATGACATGAGCTACCCCTCCTCATCCCCTCTCCTAAAACCTCCCTCTACACACCTGCTCTGCCTCTCTCCTCTGGTGCTGGTCCCTCCCCTGCAGGTGTCTGCCTTTCTGCTTCACCACCAGAATCCCTTGGCACCTGCACCCTCCTGATGCCTCCCCATTCCCTCACTGCCCCATCCCCTTTGCCGTCTTTTTCCTTGATACCCACCCCCTCACCACCCTCTTCCCCTGTTTCCCTCATGCCCCTGTGCCCTCACAGACACCTTGTTCCATCCCTGCCTTCCTCATGCCCACCCCTTCTTTCAAGCCTTCTCCCAGCACCTCTCCCTCCCCCCTCTATCCCCCAGTGCCCTTACCCTCTCCTCTCCCAGCATCACCCTGTCCCCCTCCCACTGACACCTCCCCTCCTGCCCTTTTCCTCATTGCACTTGGCCCCCTGGCATTTGTCTCTCCTGCACCCTTGTCCCTTGGTGCCTTCCCCTTTCTTCTTCTTCTCCTGACCTCCTCCCTTTCCCTCCCCTCAGCACAAGCCCCTTCCCCATATTTTTCCCCTCCCCACAGCCCAGACCCCTCCCCTCCCCCAGGTCCAGCTCTAGGTTTTTTGCTGCCCCA